AGCCTTCAAGCTTCGGGGTTGAACTATGTCAGGCAATCCCCGGCGAACCGACCGGCCAGGCCTACTGACACGTCTGGTGGTACTACAGGGAGGGGTTACTGACAAGGGAGAGTGATGGCCGAGGCCTTCCCTTTATCCTTACACATTTTCGCCTTCGCCTTTGCCTTCCGTCCTTTTCGTCTCCCCTCTTGTTATACGTACCCTCCACCAGGAGCTGTAATCTGGTCCTTTCGCATTGCTTGGTGCACAGCTTTATGGTCTGCCTGTTGGCTCATTGCAGCTCGCAATGCGTTAGGCCAAGTCGTTCCTCTGGTGTGTGTTTGTGTGTGTGTCTGTACGGAGTGCGCAGAAGCATCTCCGTCTCAGTTCTATCGCTGCTGACGCGAAGGGTGATCCACTCGTCATCAACGGTATGGTTACGCCTCGACGGTTGTCAATCCATTCGCCCGAATCACGGACGGGTTATCTTATGTTGAAGTACCCACGAATCTCAATATAAAAGTTTGAAGGTGAGGGTCCAGGCGCGAGTCATCACTCAGCAGGCGGCTTCTCCCCTCTCCCTTCTTTCCTCTCGCCCCTCTGCTGGGGACGCTCGTGTAGGTTAGGGTTCTCATTGTTCAAGCGGCCTAGGTTGCCCTCGCCTCAGGCCGCCCTCAGGCCGCCCTGAGGTCAGGCCCCACTGTGCTCATGGATCTTTGGTGCTCTCTTCCAGCATAGCCTAAGCATAGTCTGCCCTTGCTCTGCCTCTCCCTCCTTGCCCTCTTCCTCTTCCCCCCCTCCCCCTTTCCCTATTCCCCCCATTCTCCCCCCCCCTTCGCCCCCTCTCCCTTTTCATTTTCCCTTGCGCCTCCACAGTTACACAATATGAAAATACTCTCCCACTTCCCCTGATGGCGTCCCGAAGATGGCCGACCCCCCCCCGCGTATTGTTTTTTTACACAGGATTCCCGGGAAACGGGTTTTCGCCTGCGTTTTTTTTCAAAATGCTGCTCTCGCTGAGGCGCTGGCCTCATTTCTGCTCCCGAATCGTTCCGAACCGTGCTCCCGCTGCAGCGTGGGCCTCATTTTCGGATCGGTGTTTGGCCTCCGTCGTTCAGGATGGCGTTCTCGCTCCAGCGCGGGCCTCTTTCTCGCGCGCCCATCCGCCCGCCACCACCGCGCCGCACCACCACCACCAAGCCAGCAGCACCACCACCACCACCACACACACCAGCACAGCACCACACCACCACCAGCACCAGCACCACCAGCACCACCACCAGCACCACCAGCAGCAGCACCACCACCACCACCACCACCACCACCACACCACCACCACCCACCACCACCACCACCACCACCACACCACCACCACCACCACAACCACGCACACACGCACGCACGCACGCACGCGCACCACCACCCACTACGCACGCGCGCGCGGAGCCACAGGTCCGCTACGACACGCGTCCGCGGATAGAGAAAATCAGCGCCATGGTAAGGGATGGGAGGGTGGGGTAGGACGTCAGATATGACGCGAGCGCACCTAGCTTGCCTCCCCCCCCTCCCCCCCTTCCTCCTCCTTCCCCCCCCTGGTGGGGGGGTCCTGTCGTGGCCAGTCGGTGGATGGCGCCACCACTGACTGAGCCGAAAATCATCCGATGGGCCCCCCCCACCAGAGTTGGTGCTGGTGGAGAGACTGTCTCAAATGCAATGGCTCGGTAGCTCCCTCCCCCCTCCGAGGTTGCCCAGTCGGAACTCTGCTCCTCTCTCTCTCTCTCCCGAGTATGGCCGGGACGCAGTCCGCCCCCTTCCGCGTATCTTTCTTGGCTCTTCTCGATCGGAACGTTTTCGGTATCTCAAAATAGTGCTGCCGCTGCAGCGTTAGCGTCATGTTGGGATTGCGCGCTGCTCCCGTCGTCCAGAATAGCACTCTTCCCAGCGCGGGCCACTTTTCTGGATCTGAGTCCTTCCTCATCGTTGTCGCACCCCTCCTTTCCCCTCCTCCGCCTTTCCCTGGTCTTCCTCCTCCTCCTCCTCCTCCTCCTCCCGCTTCTTCCACTAGTTCCCGCCGCTGCTGTTCGTCCTCGTCGTCCTCCCCCTCCTTCCTCGTCCTCCTTTTCCTCCTGCCCATTCTCTGGCTCATCCGCCACCTCCTCCCCTTCATCCGATGTACGCAGCTCCCCCTTTCCGATTGTCTGTGTGGGAGTTCCAGGTCCGTTATGACACGCGTCCACGGATAGAGAAAGCATCCGCGCAATGGGAAGGGATGGAAGGGAGGGATAGGATGTCGGATACGGCGCGAGCGTAGCTGGCTTGCCTCCCTCCTTCTCCCCTCTCCCCCCTCCCCCGCCCCCCGCTACAACTACATTATGACATTCTGAATTCGCTCCTCTCTCCCCTGACTCCGTCTGGGAGATATCAGGCCCTCGCCGTTTTTTTGTCCCATCTCTTGCTCTGTCTTTCTCTCTCTCTGTCTCTCTCTCTCTCTATATATATATATATATATATACATCCATCCATCCATCCATCCATCCATCCATCCATCCATCCATCCATACATACATACATACATACATACATTGGCTGCAAAACCCATGCATGTGCATAGACATATGTTCTTGATTATACACTCAGCGAGCAATAATTCAAGAAATGCTTTTTTTTCTGCGACTTTAGCCCCATTTTAGGATCGGCGCGCTGCTCACGTCGTTCCGCCACACCCCGGTGCCCCGGCTCCTCCCGCCCCTTCCACGCCAGTTCCCGCTGCTGCTGATCACAGCTTTACAGTGGCCCACTCTGAGTACTGCTCTGCTCTCTCCCCTGATTCTGTTCGGAAGGTCTCCGGCCCCCTCCGCGTACCGTTGTTTACCCAGGATTTCAGCAGTTGTTGTTTCTATTGTTGTTGTTGGTGCTGTTGTTGTTGTTGTTGCTGGTGTTGTTGTTGTCGTCGTCGTTGTTTTTGTTTTTGTTGTCGTTGTCATTGTGGTTGTCGTTGTCGTTGTAGTTGTGGTTGTCGTTGTCGTTGTCGTTGTCGTTGTTGTTCATGTTGTTGTTGTTGTTGTTGATGTTGATGTCGTTGTTCTAATTATTGTTGTTATTGTGGTTGTTGTTGTTGTTCATGTTGATGTTGATGTTGTTGTTGTGATTGTTGTTGTTATTGTTGTTGTTGTTGTTGTTGTTGTCGTTGTGGTTGTCGTTGTCGTTGTCGTTGTGGTTGTGGTTGTGGTTGTCGTTGTCGTTGTCGTTGTTGTTCATGTTGTTGTTGTTGTTGTTGATGCTTTTTTTTGGGTTGTTGTTGTTGTTGTTGGTGTTTTTGTTGTTGTTGTAGATGTTGATGTTGATGTTGATGTTGTTGTTGTTCAGGTTGTTGTTGTTGTGGTTACGGTTGTTGTTATTGTTGTTGTTGTTGTTGTCGTTGTCGTTGTGGTTGTCGTTGTCGTTGTCGTTGTCGTTGTGGTTGTGGTTGTGGTTGTCGTTGTCGTTGTCGTTGTTGTTCATGTTGTTGTTGTTGTTGTTGTTGTTCATGTTTTTTTGGGTTGTTGTTGTTGTTGTTGCTGCTGCTGCTGTTGTTGTTGTTGTTGTTGTTGTTGTTGTTGTTGAACATTATTAATTCTAAAGAATAATTATTGTTGGGCCCCCTGGTGCACGCCCCCCCTGCGCCGCCTAGGCCGCAGCTACATTTTCATCATTTTCGTGAGGAAGCCTCAGGTAATTCGATGTGATCAAGATCCGGTTGTTTTGTTGTAATCCGCTTTCCCTTGCAAAAAACACTATAAAATGACATTTCTTGTTCTAATATAATCAAATTTCAAGAATCCCTTGCAAAAAATAAGGTAAAGTGGACATTCGCGCGCGCAAGACGAAATCCTTCCAAAAGCTTAGTGTTCGGAGCGATTTTAACATAAAAACATCAAAAAACCAATGGTTTTTCAACAAAAAAATGTCAAAATCTCATCCCGCGCGCTCTTGCGGATTCGTAGGAAACCCAACACTTTTTAAACATTTCTGTCAAACGGGCTTTTGCGAGCAACTTTTTCGAACTTCTGCGACAACGGTTGCGCACCTGCCAGGGCCATCATCCCTGTCAAATAATACCATGCGGGACACATTCGTTTTTTCTTCGCGCGCGCACGCCGAAATCTCCAAAAACCCTTGCCCGCCAGTGTAGTAGCCACGGTCGTCCGCACGCCACGAAGTGAAGTGTCCCAACGTCATAGGGCGGGAAGCTGGGTTTGGGTGGTCGCGAAGAGTCGTTTGGATATTTGGTAGAGCTTGTAATGCCCCCCCACGAAGTGGGGGTATTGCCTGGTGTCGTATGAAAACCCTGGCACTGGGGAGAACACCACGCGTTCGGGTAAAATGTTTGTTGTTGTTGTTGTTGTTGTTGTTGTTGTTGTTGTTGTTGTTGTTTATAGTTTTTGCAATCCGACTGATGCCGGTGCTTCAGAATGGTGTTCCCGCTGCTCATTTTCGGATTGGCGCGTTGCTCCAGTCGTTCAGAATGTCGCTCTCGCCCCAGCGCGGGCCACTTTTCTGGATCCGAGTCCTTTTTCATCGTTGTTCCCCCCCCTTTCCCCTCCTCCGCCTTCCCCTGGTGCTCCTGCTGCTCCCATCCCTTCTACTCCAGTTCCTGTTGCTGCTGCTGTTCGCCCTCCTCCTTCAGCCTCCTCCTTGTCCTCCTGCATGTCCTCCTGCTCACCCGCCACCTTCTTCTCCTCCTTCTCCTCCTTCTCCTCCTTCTCCTCCTTCTCCTCCTCGTATGTATGCAATTCTCCTTTCTTTCCGATTGCGCATAACACGATGAGGTCTTCCGCTGTTGGAGTTCCAGGTCGGCTATGACACGTCCGCGGGTAGAGGCACACCCGCGCAAAGGGAAGGGATGGAGGGAGGAAGAGGATGTCGGATATGGCGCGATCGCACCTTGTTTGAACCACCCCCGCCTCTCCCCCCCCCGCCCCTTCTCCCTGCCACCCCTCAGCCCATCCCTCTCCCCCCCCTCGGACCCCGACGCGTACAAGGCCCGGCGCTCGGAGGCCCTCGCGGTGGCGCTGGAGAAGTGGGGCTTCTGCCAGGAGTGCGGCGACCCCCCTCCTCCCGCTGGGCTGGGAGTTGGCATCGCTGCAGTCCTCACGGCACAGGGGGTCGCTTCACACGATCGCGTCGACAGGACACAACTGTCGTTCTAGGGCCCCGAATGCTTGCCAACGCTTCCTTTGACGTTGAGGAGCACTCACACAAACCTGCGGGTTGCAGCAGCGTGCAAGTCCTTCCTGTTGGAGTGTAGCCAGGTGTTTCTGTGGGCACATGTGTGCGCGATAGTGCGACTGCAGTTTCTTTGAGCGCCAACTGCTGCACTGTTGTGGCGATCGACTTCGCAGAGCTGACAGAGGTTCAACGGGTGCCTTCAGCTGCAGCCGCCAGTCAGCCGCTCTCTGAGAACGCGTGTTGTTTGAGAACGTTCACTGCGTTCGGGTCGTCATGCTAATGCCATACGGTAGCACGACATACTAGCCCGCCTCGTGTTTCGTGTCTCGTGGTGGGATTCATGCGTGCCAGAGCAAGCGCGGGCCTGATGTGTAGCTGGGAGTTGGCATTGTTGCAGCCCTCACGGCACAGGGAGGTGCAGTACACGACTGCGTTGAAATCAGATGCACGCTTGCCAGCGTGTCGATGGATGTTGAGGAGCACCCCTGCAAACCTGCGGGCTGCAGCAGCGTACAAATCTTTCCCATTGGAGTAGCCAGGTGCTTCTTTGGGCACAAGTGTGCGCGATATTGTGGCTGCAGTTTCTTTGAGCGCCAAACGCTACACTGAGCTTGTGGCGATCGGCTTCGCAGAGCTGCCATAGGCTCACTGGGTGCCTTCAGCTGCAGCCGCCAGTCAGCCGCCCTCTAAGAACGCGTGTTGTTTGAGAACGTTCATTGCGTTCGGGTCGTCATGCTAATGCCATGCGGTTTGCACGACATACTAGCCCGCCTCGTGTTTCGTGTCTCGTGGTGGGATTCATGCGTGCCAGAGCAAGCGCGGGCCTGATGTGTAGCTGGGAGTTGGCATCGTTGCAGCCCTCACGGCACAGGGAGGCGCAGTACACGACTGCGTTGAAATGACACGTTCGCCGTTCTGGGAGTTCAGATGCACGCTTGCCAGCGTGTCGATGGATGTTGAGGAGCACCCCTGCAAACCTGCGGGCTGCAGCAGCGTACAAATCTTTCCCATTGGAGTAGCCAGGTGCTTCAGTGGGCACAAGTGTGCGCGATAGTGTGGCTGCAGTTTCTTTGAGCGCCAAACGCTACACTGAGCTTGTGGCGATCGGCTTCGCAGAGCTGCCATAGGCTCACTGGGTGCTTTCAGCTGCAGCCGTCAGTCAGCCGCTCCCTAAGAACGCGTGTTGTTTGAGAATGTTCATTGCGTTCGGGTCGTCATGCTAATGCCATGCGGTCACACGACATACTAGCCCGCCTCGTGTTTCGTGTCTCGTGGTGGGATTCGTGCGTGCCAGAGCAAGCGCGGGCCTGACGTATAGCTGGGAGTTGGCATCGTTGCAGCCCTCACGGCACAGGGAGGCGCAGTACACGATTGCGTTGAAATGACACGTTCGCCGTTCTGGGAGTCCAGATGCACGCTTGCCAGCGTGTCGATGGATGTTGAGGAGCACCCCTGCAAACCTGCGGGCTGCAGCAGCGTACAAATCTTTCCCATTGGAGTAGCCAGGTGCTTCAGTGGGCACAAGTGTGCGCGACAGTGTGACTGCAGTTTCTTTGAGCGCCAAACGCTACACTGAGCTTGTGGCGATCGGCTTCGCAGAGCTGCCATAGGCTCACTGGGTGCCTTCAGCTGCAGCCGCCAGTCAGCCGCTCTCTAAGAACGCGTGTTGTTTGAGAACGTTCAATGCGTTCGGGTCGTCATGCTAATGGCATGCGTTAGCACGACATACTAGCCCGCCTCGTGTTTCGTGTCTCGTGGTGGGATTCGTGCGTGCCAGAGCAAGCGCGGGCCTGATGTGTAGCTGGGAGTTGGCATCGTTGCAGCCCTCACGGCACAGGGAGGCGCAGTACACGATTGCGTTGACATGACACGTTCGCCGTTCTGGGAGTCCAGATGCACGCTTGCCAGCGTGTCGATGGATGTTGAGGAGCACCCCTGCAAACCTGCGGGCTGCAGCAGCGTACAAATCTTTCCCATTGGAGTAGCCAGGTGCTTCAGTGGGCACAAGTGTGCGCGATATTGTGGCTGCAGTTTCTTTGAGCGCCAAACGCTACACTGAGCTTGCGGCGATCGGCTTCGCAGAGCTGCCATAGGCCCACTAGGTGCCTTCAGCTGCAGCCGTCAGTCAGCCGCTCTCTAAGAACGCGTGTTGTTTGAGAACGTTCAATGCGTTCGGGTCGTCATGCTAATGGCATGCGGTAGCACGACATACTAGCCCGCCTCGTGTTTCGTGCCTCGTGGTGGAATTCATGCGTGCCAGAGCAAGCGCGGGCCTGATGTGTAGCTGGGAGTTGGCATCGTTGCAGCCCTCACGGCACAGGGAGGCGCAGTACACGACTGCGTTGAAATGACACGTTCGCCGTTCTGGGAGTCCAGATGCACGCTTGCCAGCGTGTCGATGGATGTTGAGGAGCACCCCTGCAAACCTGCGGGCTGCAGCAGCGTACAAATCTTTCCCATTGGAGTAGCCAGGTGCTTCAGTGGGCACAAGTGTGCGCGATAGTGTGGCTGCAGTTTCTTTGAGCGCCAAACGCTACACTGAGCTTGTGGCGATCGGCTTCGCAGAGCTGCCATAGGCTCACTGGGTGCTTTCATCTGTGGACGCCAGTCAGCCGCTCTCTAAGAACGCGTGTTGTTTGAGAACGTTCACTGCGTTCGGGTCGTCATGCTAATGCCATGCGGTAGCACGACATACTAGCCCGCCTCGTGTTTCGTGTCTCGTGGTGGGATTCATGCGTGCCAGAGCAAGCGCGGGCCTGATGTGTAGCTGGGAGTTGGCATCGTTGCAGCCCTCACGGCACAGGGAGGCGCAGTGCACGACTGCGTTGAACTGACACGTTCGCCGTTCTGGGAGTCCAGATGCACGTTTGCCAGCGTGTCGATGGATGTTGGGGAGCACCCCTGCAAACCGGCGGGCTGCAGCAGCGTACAAATCTTTCCCATTGGAGTAGCCAGGTGCTTCTTTGGGCACAAGTGTGCGCGATATTGTGGCTGCAGTTTCTTTTGAGCGCCAAACGCTACACTGAGCTTGCGGCGATCGGCTTCGCAGAGCTGCCATAGGCTCACTGGGTGCTTTCATCTGTAGACGTCAGTCAGCCGCTCTCTAAGAACGCGTGTTGTTTGAGAACGTTCAATGCGTTCGGGTTGTCATGCTAATGCCATTCGGTAGCACGACATACTAGCCCGCCTCGTGTTCCGTGTCTCGTTGTGGGATTCACGCGTGCCAGAGCAAGCGCGGGCCTGATGTGTAGCTGGGAGTTGGCATCGTTGCAACCCTCGTGGCACAGGGAGGCGCAGGACACGACTGCGTCGAAAGGACACACTCGCCGTTCTAGGAGTCCAGACGCATGCTTGTTAATGCTTCTTTTGATGTTGGGGAGCACCCCTGGAAACCTGCGGGCTGCAGCAGCGTATAAAGCTTTCCCGTTGGAAAAGACAGGTGCTTCAGTGGGTACACGTGTGCGCGTTAATGCGACTGCAGTTTTTTTTGAGCGCCAAACGCTACACTGAGCTTGTGGCGATCGGCTTCGCAGAGCTGCCATAGGCTCACTGGGTGCTTTTAGCTGCAGCCGCTGGCCAGCCGCTCTCTAGGAGCGCGTGGTGTTCGAGACCATGCAGTGCGTCCGGGCTGTGATGCTAATGCCATGCGGTAGCGGGACATACTAGCTCGCCTCGTGTTTCGTGTCTCGTGGTGGGATTCATGCGTGCCAGAGCAAGCGCGGGCCTGATGTGTAGCTGGGAGTTGGCATCGTTGCAGCCCTCACGGCACAGGGAGGCGCAGTACACGATTGCGTTGACATGACACGTTCGCCGTTCTGGGAGTCCAGATGCACGCTTGCCAGCGTGTCGATGGATGTTGGGGAGCACCCCTGCAAACCTGCGGGCTGCAGCAGCGTACAAATCTTTCCCACTGGAGTAGCCAGGTGCTTCAGTGGGCACAAGTGTGCGCGATAGTGTGACTGCAGTTTCTTTGAGCGCCAAACGCTACACTGAGCTTGTGGCGATCGGCTTCGCAGAGCTGCCATAGGCCCACTAGGTGCCTTCAGCTGCAGCCGTCAGTCAGCCGCTCTCTAAGAACGCGTGTTGTTTGAGAACGTTCAATGCGTTCGGGTCGTCATGCTAATGGCATGCGGTAGCACGACATACTAGCCCGCCTCGTGTTTCGTGTCTCGTGGTGGGATTCATGCGTGCCAGAGCAAGCGCGGGCCTGATGTGTAGCTGGGAGTTGGCATCGTTGCAGCCCTCACGGCACAGGGAGGCGCAGTACACGACTGCGTTGAAATGACACGTTCGCCGTTCTGGGAGTCCAGATGCACGCTTGCCAGCGTGTCGATGGATGTTGAGAAGCACCCCTGCAAACCTGCGGGCTGCAGCAGCGTACAAATCTTTCCCATTGGAGTAGCCAGGTGCTTCAGTGGGCACAAGTGTGCGCGATAGTGTGACTGCAGTTTCTTTGAGCGCCAAACGCTACACTGAGCTTGTGGCGATCGGCTTCGCAGAGCTGCCATAGGCTCACTGGGTGCTTTTAGCTGCAGCCGCTGGCCAGCCGCTCTCTAGGAGCGCGTGGTGTTCGAGACCATGCAGTGCGTCCAGGCTGTGATGCTAGTGCCATGCGGTAGCGCGACATACTAGCTCGCCTCGTGTTTCGTGTCTCGTGGTGGGATTCATGCGTGCCAGAGCAAGCGTGGGCCTGATGTGTAGCTGGGAGTTGGCATCGTTGCAGCCCTCATGGCACAGGGAGGCGCAGTAAACGACAGCGATGAAATGATACGTTCGCCGTTCTGGGAGTCCAGATGCACGCTTGCCAGCGTGTCGATGGATGTTGAGAAGCACCCCTGCAAACCTGCGGGCTGCAGCAGCGTACAAA